TTTCTTTTTTATTCTTGTTATTTTTTTTCTTTTTTAATTTTATTCTCTCATTTATACTAAGAGATCATTTAAAAAATGATAATCCCGGATCACAATAAATCCTCTGGACGTAAGGCGCTTTCATAATTATTCCTTGTTATTTAATGAAAAGTTAAAACTTTTGGGAAAAAAAAAACAATACTTTACTGCCTTTACAGTTACACGGCATTCATCATAACATCATGAAATAAGGAAATCTAAGAGTTATTTCATTCATATCCAAATGAAATTACTTTATTTTCGTATTTGATTAATTTTTAAAAATATTATTCACAGGACAACACAATAGTATATCTTTAAGTTTGAATGTAATGTATAAAGTAATTTTTTTTTTTGGATTACATCCGGATATCCCAATAGCCGATAGTCATGATAAAATATAAATTTGATCAACTTAGGGAGGTGATCACCCCCTAACCCTTTGACTCCACCATTGCTTATGATCAAATTGATCAAGATTACATAATAATTTCTTGCCATAAAACATTCACTTTTGAATAGTATTTTTAACCGTAAACAAAATTATTATTGTTTATTTATTGCGTACAAAGGCTTTTGCAAAAGTTGCTTCTAAAATATCCAACTCTGAAGCAAAGAAACTTACAAGGAGTTATCATACTAATGCGTCTCAAATAATTAATAAGAGTAAATAAACCCTTGCGGGACCTATAACATTATCAGATTTAATTTGAGTAGGTCATAGATCAAATATTTATGTAAAACAAAACAATTCTGAAAGGGCTATGACGTACGCATATTTGACTTTTGTTTTAATTAGTTTTCTTTAAAAATTATTCTATAGTTATTTCTATTTTATGAATCTTGAGTTGCTTAATATTTTAAGATTGTTTTGGAATTTTGGGTTGTTTTTAGTGAACAAGCAGTTCAATGGAAAATTTAGAGTACACATGAGACAACTAGTAACCCATGAAAATGTTATAAAAGGTCCTATCTCTTCCCTTCTCTTCACATAAAACAATAAGCAGCTAGTCGCTTGGGAAAAAAAAAAACTATAACTTAGTCAGATTTTATTTGAGTTGGTCTTAGATTCAATATTTATGTCAAACAAAAAAATTCGGAATGGGCTATGACGTACGTAGGCATATTTAACTTTTGCTTTAATTAGTTTTCTTTAAAGTATTCTATAACTATTTCTATTTTATTAATCTTGAGTTGTTTTATATTTCAAGAATATTGTTTTGGAATGTTAGGATGTTTTCTAGTGAGCATGTAGTTTAATGGAAGTTTTATAATACATATGAGACACTGTAACCAATGTTATTAAATCCGCTGATTATTGATGCGGTCAAGATACTAGGTCACTGATTATATGACTCAGTAATTATATGTAATTCTATAATTTATATTAAAAAATTATAAACATACTTAAATATCTAAAAAAAGATAAAAATTTCAAATATTTTAATATAAAAATAATAAATCGCACATTATTATCTTATAAAGGATCAAACAAAAATATAATTATTATGATACAGGACTTCAGGTTCAGTATACGACATCTTTAACTATAAATCAAATTAAAATTTCATGCATATTGTATATTGAGATAATACTAGTGTTATAAGTACATAACTTATGTAAGTCAATAAGAAAAAAAATACTCAAATATGTCCATTATGATTTTATTTTATTTTAAAAAAAAGTTGGGAATTTTTTTTTTGGATCGAGCCGGATAACCGATTTTTCACTAAAATCGGCAGAGTTTCACTAATTCTGATGCATGATCGGTCCATTATTTTGTCCAAACCAATTACATAACTGATTTATCAATTCCCGAATCAATCCGATTTGGCCGATCTGATTTTATTAACATTGCTAATTCGATGCAAAGCGAAGAACTTTACCGGAGTTTGACATGCCACGAATCCTCTTGAAAGAGAAGGGTGCCTTTCTTGTGTGAAAACTTTGGCCTATAAACACAAAAGTACTGTACGTGTTTTCCTAAAAACATTATATTCGGGAGAATTTTTGGAAGAATTAACCCTTAAAAATTTATAGAAGGTGTTAGTTACTTGGAAAAAATCTATGTCCCCCCTCCTACTTTAACAACCATAGTTGCAATTATCGAACCGAAAGTCGAACAAATTACAGGATGGTTTACTTGGGATTTGACTGCGAATGCAAACATGAAAGTCCTTTAGATAAAATCTAAAAATCATATAATGGATCATTTTTTTTCTAATTTAAATCACCAATTTTTCATTAATATTTTTGGTCATCACAAACATAGTATTTTTAAGTTTTTTTATTTAAAGATGGTACATGTCATTTATTAAAATTTTAATTTTAAATTCTTTGTATTAATTAAACCTATCTTTTTTATAATTTAAATATTCTTCATATTTTAGTTTATATATTTAAGATTTCACTCAAATTAATTAATAAAATTTTCGTCTTATAATTTTAAATGTTTTTAAAATTTAACATGAATTTAAAAATACCAATACTGTATACGGTATATATGCTGCCATGCTGGTATATATTTGAATAAAAATTAATTTACTCTTAAAAAGGTAAGATCACTTGGTAAAATAATCACTATTTTTAGCCAAATTACCAAATATGGTAGAAAATATGAAAATCGTAACAAAATTTTACAACTGTTTTAGATGAGAAAAATGTTAGCGATGCATATTTTTAAAATTCTCTTATTTATTGGATGAAATCATTCCCACTTATAGCGAGTGGACCAGCATTAATTAGTGAAACTAACATGAAATTTTATCTAATAATACATAAAATATTAAAAAGTTCAAAAAAAATATATATATTGATATCATTTATCTTTTACGATTTTGATTCACCAAAAGTCATAATTATTAATCTATCTAGCCAATCTAAAATTTGCGGTCATTATAACTAAGTTTTACAACTATTCCAACAATAATAAAATGTTAACATCCAGTAAAATCACAAAATTTAGGATCAAACTACAAGAACACGATTTTTGGATTTGATTTTTTATTGGTAAATCATTTGGATATAATTTCTACTATAAATTCTTATTTAAGCTTCTGGTTATCGAATGAAACAAAATTTCTCCTTAATTGTTATACTTTTATTAAAAAAAAAAAAAATTCTTTGTTAGCATAGATCTTAGCATAAAATTAAAAGAAAGCGATACATAGCTAAATGTTGTCCTAGTAAACTGTAAAATAATCGAATGTTTATTTTATATTATATCTCTTGATCCCAATTTATAGAAGAACCAATGAACATTTTCGGAATTTTGCGTTTTAAGGCATGAATAATGTAGAGATTAATTTTTTTTTTATCTTATGCTTAAATTCAATTTTTATTAAAAAAAAATATGGTAGCAACAATCAAACTTTAAATCATTTGTCATAGAATCTTATACCAAATAAACTAATTTATGTTAATTTCATTATTAAAGAGAAACACACACAAATATGTGGGACCACATGGATATTGCATTTAATCTAAATAATTAAGCAAGTAATATATAAAAGCAAAATGTAAATTATTTACAAAATTCAAATATTATAAGAATTAGGATCATTTTTTACCCACATAACTTACGTTTCCATTTATACCTAATATTTCTAATTTTTTTAAGTATATCAGTTATTGAATACAAGTGGATCAATATTTAATCAAAATAATTAAGCAAGTAATATATAAAAAACAAAAATGTAAATTATTTACAAAATTCAAATATTATAAGAATTAGGATCATTTTATACCCACATAACTTACGCTTCCATTTATACCTAATATTTCTAATTTTTTTAAGTATATCAATTATTGAATACAAGTGGATTAGTGGATTAATAGCGAACGGATAGTCAACGTTGAATGTAATATTATTTATTTTTATATTGGTTATATAAAAATAATCAACCCCATATTATAATTATTCCTAATTTTTATCTGTAAACTCTCCAAAAATTATGTTGGAAACAATCAGCTATAACCCCTTGATTTGTAATAACTTTTGCATTTGTAATGCTACGAATGAATTCACCTATTAATCTCACTTATCGGTGAGCAAAATAGTTAAAATAGAGATTTTATATAAAATCAAAGAAAAGATAAAAAATAATAAAAGAGTAAATATCTTTTTTAGTCCCTAACAAAAAATACGGTCCCCATTTTAGTCCCTTACAAAAATAAATTAGTCAGATAGTCCCTAACAAATTCAAAGTGGACCCATTTAGTTGAAATCGTGATCCCTCACAAATTCAAAAAGACTCATATTAATTCCTCAAAAGGACTAAAATGGGTCCACCTTGAATTTGTTAGGAACTAACTGACTAATTTATTTTTCTAAAGTGTTTTTTTTTTTGTTAGGATCAAAAAGGATATTTACTTATAATAAAACATAAAATTACAATATAAAAAAATTATAAAAGCATAAAAGTGGTTGAACTATTAATAAAATCGATTTGATAAAATAAAATAAAATCATAAAAAACGTAACTACCGTGACGGTGGTGAGGGACAAAAGCTTTTTCCAAAGATCACGGTCAAACCTAAGCGTACTCATTTAATTGATATTTCACGTCAACGCATACGCTAAGACTAGTTCCTCTTTAAACTTTAAACTTTTAAGTGGCCAAACCAAAATGGCACTCACCGTTAATTACCACGCAATTCTGCCACGTGGAGGGCACAGACACGCACAGTCCATGGAGCCGCCTTCTTATGCTTTCTCTTTTTCGTCGTTCACACTTTGCCTTGTCACCTCCTTCAAAGGGTCCAATCTTTGAATACAAAACTGTCCCTTTCACCTTCAATTCAAATATTCAAACCCCAAAATAAAAAGAATTAAATAAATAAAAAATAAAAAATGACCCGCGTAGAAGAAGACCCTTTGAAAACTCTCATAGTACAAGAACAACAACTCAATCAACAACATCTTACACTTCACCTTGTTATTGAATTATCTGAGGAATCAGGCATAGTACTACTGTAAAGTGTTAATGGGTATCAATATCAATAGCATTGCTGGGTTGGATCCCCAGATGACGGCAGAGAAAGCTGTGTGTGTGATTGGTCAAGGCTATGATCTCTGCAGTGATATAAGATTCTCTGCTTGCAAATCCAGGTTGGTTGAAATTGAAACCGCCCATACCAGAGACCTTGTATTTCCTGTTGGGGTTGTTGTTCCCAACGTACCCACCTCCATCAAGTGCGACAAAGGTGAACGCACCAGGTTTCGCTCCGATGTTCTCCCTTTTAATCAGGTCAGGTCATCACAAAATAAACATATATATAGTCTTTTTTATCTTTTGTAATTACCATGTTTCTCTGTCTTCTTCTTCTTTTTAATATTCTAATTATGGTTTTGCCAGAATTGAATTCGTTTGAAAATTGTTGTTTGCTATTCTTGCCTTGTGTCAGTATCATTTGAATTTCATTGAATTTGGAGTGTTGCAGATGTCTGAGCATTTCAACGGACATCTATCTTTGTCGGGGAAGATTCCATCTGGCCTATTCAATAACATGTTCGACATGAGAAAGTGTTGGCCGATGGATGCAGCTTCCACTAAAAACCTTGCTTATGATGGATGGTACATAACATTATATAACGTTGAATTAGATAGAACCAATATAACCCTTTCTGAAAGTGTGAAAAGAGAAGTGCCTTCTTCATGGAACCCTGCTGCTCTTGCCGAGTAAGTATTATTGTTATTCTTCATCATCTTGTTCTTATTAATAGTATTAAAACATTACATACCTTTGATTTTTTTATTTTTTTTTGTATAAACATATAAATTTTTTTTCTTCCCTCTGAACAATAATGAAAGTTTGTATGCATATAAGTATCACTTTGATATGATCCCTACAAGTTGCTATGATCACTAAAAGTTGCTAACAATAAGTTAGAACTTACAAGAGTTCTGAACATGAGAAGTCTATACAATTCATTAAGAAACCTAAACTTGAACACATTTTCAAATTTCACCAATGGATTTCATCAACCATGAGTTACATGAAAGGTTTCTGGACGAAACAAGAACTTGATTAATATGTTGATATATACTAACTGATGTTTTAATGTTATACACGAATTTTGACTTTATAGAGCTGATTTAAGCAGTTTATATTAATGGATTATTGGACTAGAAGAAGATTCTTGTCTGTTTGATCATGATGTATCTTAAACGAATGCATGTGTTTTGGGTCCATGTGTGCAATTCCTATGCTGGTGTGGAAGATGCTCCTAAGGTAAAAACAAAATACATAGACTAGCATTTTTCCTTAAAGAAACTTGATCCTAGATAATGTTTTAAACTTGCACTTTGTTCTCCTGTTGTAATAGTATATTGGATAAACTAATATGATGCACATTTTAACATTCTACTTGAATCTTTTAGTGCATGTCTGCCTGTTTGAACAGCCTTATTGAATTCTTTTTTTCTTTAATAATTTAATAAAAGTAGAATCCTTCTTTATGTTGCTGGGACTTGAATAGTGCTCTAAAAGATACATGGTTCTTCAGGTTCATTGAAAAATATGGTACCCATATTGTTGTTGGGGTGAAGATGGGAGGTAAGGATGTGGTTCACATCAAGCAGTCAAAAAATTCAGATCTTCAGCCGGCTGAACTTCAGAAATTGCTAAAGAAATTAGCTGATGAGAGGTTTTCTGAGAATTCGAATCAAAGTTCTAATGTCAATCCTGCTGAAATATCAGGAAAACTTAAGGTAAAAGATTAGGCAGATTATTTTTTGATACAGGACAATGTACCTTCCGTTTCATTACTTGCTTTTAAAATTGAAAAGTGTGAGGAGATACGGATTATGAGTTCAGAGAGTTTTTAATTTGGCAGCAAAAGAAAATTTCTAAGAGAGAAAAGAAGAAAGGACAAGTAATTGAGGACAGGATATCCTCCAAAACACAAACTAAAATACAAGATGGAATATAAAAAAAACTCAAGATTGCTACAAGGCTTCCTTTCTCTTCATATCTGAAATAGTAACTCCCTAGAAGCATAGGCAGAAAGAACACCCTTAAAGATGGGAGCATTCTGCTTCAACCAGGAGCAACAAAGAGTTGCATGCAAAGCACCCACAAAATTTTAGCCTCTTTGGTTTTTCCAAAGCCTTTTATAATGAACTGTCAAAGAATGACTCTCCTGGCAGTTTAAGTTATTAGATGGAGGCCAAGAATGGTTTTATATATCTAACATGAACTAGCAAAAACATTCTAAAGTAGAAGGACACACCCTATGCTCACCAAGAATCCCAAAGATAGTTCTGAAGAAAAATAGCTGGCTTGCAATGCAAAATTAAATATGCCTGTCATTCTAAAACATGCAAAAAAAGGAAATAGAAATCTGAAAAGTTTGATTTGTCTAAATATATTTGTAATCATGTTTACAGGATGATCATGCTAAGCTGCGGCGCACGACTGCTGCTGGTAGGCCAGTTGTAAGACGTCAGTCCAAGAATGATGTTAGTGTTTTTTTTCTTTTTTTCTTTTTTTGTTATAAGAATGGTGCAATTTTCATTACTTTACGGTGGACCTTGTAGCCATCCTGCATCTGACAGAATTGGACTTCATTATATAAATTTCTTTGCAGGATATAGTGAGCATTTCTGTTCGAAAGGGAGGTGTTGATATTGGTCAATCTTATAACCAGTGGCTCTCAACCATAGCACAGTCTCCTAATGTCATATCAATGTCTTTTGTGCCAATTACTTCCCTACTGAATTCTGTTCCAGGCAATGGATTTTTAAGTCATGCGGTGAATTTGTATCTTAGATGTGAGTAGACACCTGCGACTTTGGTTTCTCTCCTACCATTTATTGTCTTATTTGTTATTCTTTTGGAATTTTATTTTTTTGTTGGAATTTTGGTTGACAATCACCACTTTTGATAAAACTTTACGTTTAAATGTTGATCTTTTATGCTGCAAATTAAAATCAGTATTTATCTCTCTCATGAAGCCTATGCATGTCGGTTTGTTTTGCACACAGACAATCATTAATATAAAATGAATATATAATTATTTATGGATTTGTATAATGCACTTTATCTGGTACATGTGTTTAAAAGTTTTTTGTTTCAAACAGATAAACCTGCAATAGAAGAGCTTCATCAATTTCTAGAATTTCAGTTGCCTCGGCAATGGGCCCCAATGTATGGTGATCTGCCTCTTGGATACGGTCCTAAGCATAAAAGAAACATTTCTCCATCACTTCAGTTCACTCTCATGGGACCCAAGCTTTATGTTAGTACTGTAAAGGTATTTTGTTCTTACAACTGTCATTACTAGTCAGAAGTTTATGAACCTTCTCTAACTTCACCTGTGCTCTAATTGTCCACTTAAAAAAATTGCATTATTTATTCAAATGGGAGATTTTTGCTGGAAGACCACATAATCAATGTACAAAAAAGTTACATCTGGAGATTCTGGACAACTTATCTTTGACTTTCCATTCCAAATTTAGTTATATCAGAATACTTGCATTTAAGCCACTGGGTTTGGTTTAGTGGTGAGAGATTTGAGTAGGTTGTATTAGGTCATGTGTTCAATTCCCACTTGTATTAAAAATAAAATAAAAATATACCTGCATTTATGAACCTGTTCATAACCCCTCATTCAATGTAGGAAAAAAAAAACTTATTATATGTTTTCTATAAGCAGGTTGACTCTGGAAATCGGCCTGTGACAGGGATTCGCTTATACTTGGAAGGCCAAAAATGTGACCACCTAGCAATCCATCTCCAGCATCTTTCAGAGGTTCCTGGTGTCCTTGAAATTTCAGAAGATCATGGTTATGATCCTATTGATGAACCTGTTGAAAGGGGCTACTATGAACCGGTGAAGTGGAGTATGTTTTCTCATGTCTACACAGCACCTGTACAATACAATAGCTCCCATATAGATGAGTCCACATCTATAGTGACAAAGGCCTGGTTTGAGGTTAAGCTTGTGGGAATGAAGAAAGTCCTTTTTCTGAGGCTTGGATTCTCAACAGTTGCATCAGCAAAAAGTCGCAGATCAGAATGGGATGGACCTTCAACCACATCTCGGAAGTCAGGATTATTCTCAGCATTGATGAGTACAAGGCTTAGCAAGGAGTTGCAGTCACCTGAGAAGCCAACTAAAGTGGATATAAATTCAGCAATTTATCATGGTGGCCCTCCTGTGCCCACAAGGGCTCCAAAAATGTTGAGCTTTGTGGACACAAAGGAAATGGTTAGGGGTCCAGAGGATCTACCTGGATATTGGGTGGTCACTGGGGCAAAGCTGTGTGTAGAGGGTGGCAGAATCTCAATCAAGGCTAAGTATTCATTGTTGACCATAATGTCAGAAGAATCTCTGATGTTGGGAGTGTAGGAATTTAGTTAACACTTTTTTGGTATGTTTGTAAATATCTTATATCATTTACTATAGAAAGAAAGAAAGAAAAAATCAGATTTAGTGAGTGTCATCTGGTGCAAAGTGACCTGAATATAGTAGTTTCTGTTGATTTTTAGTACCTTAGTCTTCTGATTTTGTTTTGGCACAACTGCCTTCAATAATGAATTGTGTTTGGGATTTGGAATCAAAACATTTTATTTTTATTTATGAATCCTGGCAGAATCAAAAACTGCCCCAACAGAGACATTGGCATCAATCATCAAGGCGTTTTAATTACAAGCTTCATTTGCTGCATCTTCCTGTGCCAGTAACTAGGAGTGTTCATCAACCAATCCAAATCGATTCAAACCGCACTAACCGAACCGAAAAACCGAAAACCGAATAAACCGAAAATCGAAAATCGAAAAAAAACGACAAATTTTAATTGGATTGGATCGGTTTTCGAATTGGTAGATGAAAATCGATCCAATCCAAACCAATACAATATATTAATTTTCCTCTACTTACTTGGGTCTTTCCCCCATCATAGTCCAAAAATTTCTAAACTCAAGACCCATTAACTCATTAACTAAACTCAAGAAAAAATCTAGTCACGTCTCATCAATAAAATTTTATATATGTAGAGCTTTATATCTTATTGTCCAAAAAAAAATCTATATTATCGTTTACTGATACTTTTGTATTTAAAAAATAAATAAATTACAAAGTCAATATATACAAAAGATGTTATTTGAGCAATAATCAAGAAACAAATTTTAGGATTTTTGTGTGTGGAGGTTACAAGGAATTGAACACAACACCCTACACTACACACACTCCTAACACACACACCCCACACCACTAGGCTAACCCTAGTGGCGCAATCCGAAAAAAATTGGATTGGATCGGATCGGATTTAAAAAAAATTCCAAACCGAATGGATGATAACGTGATCAAATCGAAGAGATTGGATCAGATGATTTTTTCTTCTAAAACCGATCCAATCCAGACCGCGAAAATCTCTGCTAGTAACCGCACACTCAGACATGAAGAGAGTACGACTATCTTGGGATGATTTCCACAGGGAAACCTGTTGATGTTGAGTTCCTCCAATGCAATGGTACTCATGGAAAATATAAATAATATGCTAGAGTGATATAATATAAAATTTATTGATGAATTTTTATTTATTAACTTAAATTTTTTAGTTGAATTAGTGCTTTATATGGTATCAATACTTCGTTTGTGATCATGAGATCTTTGATCTTTGCTATTTGCCAACCTCATTCTATTAAAAAATAAATATATTATGGATTTTCTTAGCATAAGAAGGTGGACCTAATGTATTGTCCATCTTTCAAAGTAAGGGTATTCATCAACCGATTCAAATCGCAGTGATCGAACCGAAAAACTGATAACTGAAAATCGAAAATCAAAAACCGAATTTTTTTTTGCATATTTTAATTGGATTTGATCAGTTTTCGGTTTGGTTGGTTAAAATCGATCCAATGTATTATATATTTATTATTTTTGAAAAAATGGTGACTCGGAATCTTGCTGTTTTATAGACTTGGATCCATCTTGGATGTTATTGATAGTAAATTATTTTGTTTTAATTTTTTATTGTCTATTAATCTATTTTAACTCTGGGAAAAGTGTTTATCATTTTAAATGACAGAAAGTTATGTCATTTTAAGAGATACAGACACAGAAAATTTGAATTTTAAATTAAAAAAACCATCCACTTTCTCTCTCCCATGATTTCCGTTTTTCTGTGTCTATCTATCTCCTAAAATGACTTAACTTACGTCATTTAAAATGACAAACACCAAACCCTTTAACTCTTTATGAGTTTTAAGACTTGTTTAGTTTGAAGACTTCAATTTTTTCAGTTGTTTGTAATTTTAAATGACTTTATTTTTATATAGCTAGTTATTTGTATAACTTAAATTTAGGCTTTTCGAAAAATCAAAAAAGATCCCATTCAAACCAAATAAAATTGGATTTGTTCGATTCGATTTTTCTTTTTAAAAAATTCAAACCGAATAGATGATTAAATAATCAACGGATGAACTTGTCCAAAATATCACCTTAATATGTTCTAAAAATTTATGAGATTTAACCTATGAAGCACCGACACTTCAAAAATTATGACGTGTCGTGTCCGACATTTTTCGACGCTCTCCAACACTCCGACACTCCAACACGCGTTATAGAAATTCAAAAAAAGATTCAAACGTTGAGTTGCGTTGAGTTTTTAGTTCCAACTATTAGATTCATTGAATTATGATTATCATTTTATTGAGTTTAATATAAATATTTGGAATATCTTATGTTTCTTTGCAAAATTGATAAATATTATAAGTTTAGTTTCATTTTTTTGTTAAATTATTGAATATTAAATATAATATACACTATATAAATTAAAAATATTATTTAATATCAAAAAGTGTCCTAACGTGTCGAAATCTAACATTTTTAAAAATTAACGTGTCGGAGTGTCGTGTCCCGTGTCAGTATCGGTGCTACATAGGATTTAACTCCAATTTTAAATAAAATACATAAAAAGAACTTTTAAATAAAAAAATTATTTAGATATTTAAATTAATAAGTTATTTTATATATAAAATTATGAAAAAGTATATGTGATGATAATGGTAATGGGATAGAGTGATTGTACTGGAGTTCAGATAAAATTAAATTTTTAGAAAATTATTGAACTTTTGCCTTGTGCTTTTTTTTTATAGAGATAAGATATTATTACTACTAATTAGTATTACTATTAAGGGAAAAGTGTTGGTCATTTTAAATGACAGAATGTTATGTCATTTTAAGAGAGAAACAGACACAGAAAATTTGAATTTTAAATTAAAAAAAATCACTCACTTTCTCTCTCCCATGATTTCTGTTTTTCTGTGTCTATCTCTCTCCTAAAATGACATAACTTATGTCATTTAAAATGACAAACACCAAACCTTACTATTAAATATCGTTGTTTCATCATTAGATCGATGATGCTGATCCTACGATTATATTTGTTTTCACATTTTTATGTTTATGATTCTCCATATTTAATGTGAAAACATTAAATATGGAGAATCATAATAGTACAAACGTGAAAATAAATATAAAGTATTAAAGAAAAAATATTTTTAGAAAATTAAATCAAAAATATTACATTAACATAATCGATCTAAAAGTAAAACAAAGAAATACTAATATTAATAGTAACACTAATTAGTAATAACAATATCTTATATCTGTATATAAACGTTTTGATGGGCACCACAGTCCCTTCACTTTGTAGTCTTTTTAATTACAATGAACAAAAAAATAAATAATAATAATAAAAACTATAATAACTGCAAAATTTAAAAAAATATAATTACAGTGTGAGAAGCTAAGTAATATTGAACACATAACTAGTACACAAGCCAGCATACCAAAAAAAACTAGTACACAAGCCAAAAAAAAAAAAAAAAAAAAATCCTATACAAGATTAGTCCTGTAATCAATTGAGTTAAAATTAGCGGATATATTCAAAATCAACTGATTTCAAAAAGGTAATAAATATAGTTTGTTGTTTATCAATTTTTTTTTTGGAAATATATCTTTTGTTCTTTTAAAGTATGGGGTTTGATTTTCTTATGTTGCATAAGAATTGAATTCTCAAGCTGTGACTTAACTAGTGGTGGGCCCCACATTTACTAAAAAGAGAATAAGAAAAGAAAAGCTTTGCACGCAAATTAAAGGGTCACAACATGAGAATTGAATTCTCATGCAACATGAGAAAATGTTTTTCCTTAAAGTATACATAATTATATTTTTTTTAGGGGGAAGGATATTGTGACAACCAAGTTGTGTTACTACCAAGTAGGGGTGAAAGTGGGCTGGGCTGGGCCAAGCTTTGCTCCGAAAAGCCCAAGCCTACGTCAAATTTTTTTAATTTGGCCTGGCTCAAGCCTAGTATGAGTCTAACTGTTAGCCTAATTTGACCCGTTTATTAAAAAACAAATGGCGTTGCTTGGCCCGTTAGCCTGTTAATTTTCAACTTCCAAGCAGAACCATAAATCAACTTTACAAAGTACTCAAATTATGTTGCTACACCGAAAATCATAATTTCAACGTCCAAACAGAATCATGAATCATAATAAAACTCATACAATATGTATTTAAGTCATTTTCAAAAGCAAAATGCTCAAACTAAATAACATTAGATCTAACAAACAAATCCATACTATGTAAATTAAAATAACTACATGAATCCAACAAACACATCATGATGCTTGTAGTAAGTACAACCTCACCCAAAAATCTTTTAATATATTCATATAAACAATCTAACATGTTGAGATGTTGGTTCCTCCTATATAAGAAATAAAGTAAGATTTCTATTAAAATATAATCGAATATAATCAAGTTATAAATAATTGCAATTGATTAAATTTATATCTTTTGTTTTTTCTTCAAGGCATACTTACTCTACTTTATTTTATTTAAAATAAATAGTACAATATAGGCCGACCTTTTGAAAGTGGGCCTACGGCCTTTTTTATTAAACATGCTTTTTTAAAGCCCAAGCCCGGCCTATTATACAAAATATACTAGGTCAGGTTTGGCCTGATGTAGACCGAGCCATAGGCCGGCCCGGCCCAGTTTCACCCCTACTACCAATTGACTACCAATCAATCTCACCGTTAGATCGATTATGTGGATCCAACAGTTATATTTATTTTCATCTTTGTATGGTCATGATTCTCCATATTTAAAGTGAAAGCATTAAATATGGGAAATCATAACCATACAAAGGTGAAAATAAATATAAAGTATTAAATTTGGGGAATCATGACCATACAAAGATGAAAATAAATATAATCGTTGGATCAATATAATCGATCTAACGGTAAGATTGATTGGTAGTCATTTGGTAGTAACAAAACTTGGTTGTCACAATATCCTTCCCCTTTTTTTAGTACATGAATTATGTTATTTTAAATGAGAAAAAATATATATAAATAAAGGATTTGTGTTTTCTAAAGTTACTTTAAATAACTTTATCTAATGTTCACCGAAACGACGTCGTTTTTGGGACTGAAATCATGGTGTTTTTGTAATTTTAATTTATTTCAGGGTTATAATAGTCTTATCATTCTAATTTTTTAATTTTTTAACCCCAAAACGACGTCATTTTGATGAACATTAGATAAAGTTATCTAAAGTAACAGTAGATACTTTTTTCCTATAAATAAATTATAACTAAAAAATAGATGATTTTTTAATTTAAATATTAAATAAAAATACTAATTGGATTACAATACTTTTCCTTAGGATATATACAAAACAAATAGAGAAAGTTATTTTTAATAAAATAGTAATTAATTCTTCTAAAGTTAAATAAATGATTATGAGAATAAAATCTTAAAACAAAATCGAACAATTTTGTTCAGAAAAAATCTTAAAATAAATGAATGAATAATTAATTAATTAGTAAATTATTTTGGTTAGAAAAACTGAAAATTATCCAGAGTCGGTGCCGGCCTAAGCAAGAAAGCAATTGATCCCAAACGTGTGGTTGGAATTGTATAATCTCGTCAGTTGCCGAAAACGACTCCAATACCAAACGTACCGTGTCAATAGGGTTAGCGGTTCCCAATTATCCACGCGTCACAACGTGATTTGTTGAGGTGACGTTACCGTAACGGAGCAAAACATCTTTTGTTATAAAAGCGAAGCCCCTCTATACCACAAACATATTATTAGCTTTTCATTTCGTTGCATTGCAGAGAAAGAAGAACACCGTTTCAAGGTATCTTCTGCTGCTCCTCTTCTCTTTCCTATTAGGGTTTCGATTATTAGGGCTTTCGGTTCTTTTTATTTAATTCTTCATCGGATCTGTCGAGCGCTTTGATTTTGTTCTGTGTCTTTTCGTGTCTTGGAAATTCTTTTGAATCGAATCGAGTCGAGTCGTCGTACATGATTTTGCTGTCTCAATAAACACGAAAGCTGAGATCTTTCTGAGACTTTTGTTAATTAATCAGCCAATTTGATTAAGTTTTTTTGTTAATTTGAAACAGTCTTGAGATCTGTTATGAAGGTATATATAATTTGTCAGATTTGGGTTATATACTGAGTATCTGTATAATTATTAAATGTCATGTTATTTGGATTTGTCGGGGGTGTCTGATTCGTCTATTTTGGCTATCGATTTAATTGAATCGTTGATTGGAGACGAGTAATCAAGTTGATGCCTTTGTTTTTATTTATTTTTTGTCTGGGCTTTTATGATGTCTATGTTTTGAAGAATTTTGATTAATGAGTCGTTAAAATCTATTTCTTGTAAATATAATTGGTAATATTGACTAATTTTATGTTTTTATTCCTTTGTTTTGTGTAGTCTTTCAACTCAGTTTTTCTCATCTTAATAGCCATAATGAAGAATTGGTGAATTGTTCATTTATTTGTCTTTTTCTTGTAATGTAGATGCAAATCTTCGTTAAGACCCTCACTGGCAAGACCATCACTCTCGAAGTGGAGAGTTCAGATACCATAGACAATGTGAAAGCCAAGATTCAAGACAAGGAAGGGATCCCACCAGACCAGCAGCGTCTCATTTTTGCTGGCAAGCAGCTTGAGGATGGGCGTACCCTTGCTGATTACAACATCCAAAAGGAGTCAACCCTCCACTTGGTGCTCCGTCTCCGTGGTGGTATGCAAATCTTTGTTAAGACCCTGACTGGAAAGACCATCACCCTTGAGGTGGAAAGCTCTGACACGATTGACAATGTTAAGGCCAAGATTCAAGACAAAGAGGGAATCCCACCAGACCAACAGAGGCTCATCTTTGCTGGAAAGCAGCTTGAGGATGGCCGAACATTGGCTGATTACAACATTCAGAAAGAATCCACCCTCCACTTGGTGCTCCGCCTTCGTGGTGGAATGCAAATCTTTGTTAAGACCCTCACTGGAAAGACCATTACCCTTGAGGTGGAGAGTTCCGACACCATTGACAATGTTAAGGCCAAGATTCAAGACAAAGAAGGAATCCCACCAGACCAACAGAGGCTCATCTTTGCTGGAAAGCAGCTTGAAGATGGCCGAACCTTGGCTGATTACAACATCCAGAAAGAGTCAACTCTCCACCTTGTCTTGAGACTCCGTGGTGGCATGCAAATTTTCGTGAAGACCCTTACTGGCAAGACAATCACTTTGGAAGTAGAGAGCTCGGACACAATTGACAATGTGAAGGCCAAGATCCAGGACAAGGAGGGTATTCCCCCAGACCAGCAAAGGTTGATTTTTGCTGGAAAGCAGCTTGAAGATGGGCGTACCCTGGCAGACTACAACATTCAGAAAGAGTCCACTCTTCACCTTGTCCTTCGTCTGAGGGGAGGTATGCAGATCTTTGTGAAGACTTTGACTGGAAAGACTATCACATTGGAGGTTGAAAGTTCGGACACAATTGATAATGTCAAAGCAAAAATCCAGGACAAGGAGGGAATCCCACCAGACCAGCAGAGGTTGATCTTTGCTGGGAAGCAATTGGAGGATGGAAGGACCCTTGCTGACTACAACATTCAGAAGGAGTCTACTCTTCACCTTGTGTTGCGTCTTCGTGGTGGATGTTGAGTATGTGAATGTTCCAAATCCTGCAGGTCTTAATGTCTTTTGTGTTTCAGAACTTGTTATGGATGGGTCTAGGGCCCTTAATCTAAAAATTTAGGTTTGCTGTGTGTTTCTGTTTAAGTCTGTTTCCAAGTTTTATGTTGTGTTCATGAACATGGACAAACAGTTCGCTGTCGTTCATGGTTCATTTTATTCAGTAAAATAACTTCGGTTTTATAGTAAATCTCCGAATCTCTACAAATTAAACTGTAAACAAAATACTGCACCTTCTATGTCATTTCTTGCGCTTGAAATTAAATACTAAGTTTGACGAAGTAAATTGAACTTCACTATATTTTCCCGGACGGGAGGTATGTTTCAAAGTTTTTTTTTTATATATTTTTTATTTAAACCAAGGTACTTCTATCAATCCGTGCTAACCTTTGATTAGCTGAAACACGGAAGGATGAATTTGTGTAATATGTTTAGCTGTTATGATGATTTATAGCTTCAACCTGTTTTAATTATGAAATATAATGTTACTAGGGTAACCTATTTGTTTTAAACGAAATAAACTTCATGTTGTCCTTGTGGAAGGATGATCATGCCGCCTGCCGCCTTGTCCCTGTCCTTCTTGTACATTTAATAACACATTATGACCTCTTTTCTGAGGCAAATTAACAGCTTCATGTGAAAATTGCTCGGAGGTCACTACAACTTCTGAAACCAACCATAACATTAACCAACAAGTGCATGCGATTAATTCTGAAATCTTTATATTGCTTCCAAAAGAAAGATGCAGAGAGGTTACCTGCCTCCCAGTGAAATTCAAATGTGAAAAATTGAAGGGTTATAAATAACCCCATTTTTTAAAAATCAATTTAAGAACCATTTTTTTTTTTAAATCAATTTAAGAACCGAAACGGGCTGTAAGATAAGATAAGATTTTTGGGTTATTGCTTACTATCCTCTGTGCCCTCTTCATTAATTAAGCGAGATGGGTGTTTTGATTTTGACAACCGATCTGGATTCCTATTATTAGTTATTGCTCCACCTTAGTTCTGTTAAAAACTTGAATTTGAATTTAGTTTTGTTTGCACATAGCACGGTATATCTTTATACAGTGATGCTGAAGTATTTTTTAAAATACTACTAGTTCAACAAATTTGCAACCGTGCATCGCTTGCTAGATTTTCTGGATGTAAGTGTTGCTCTTAACTTTGTGGGAATACCTGGTAAAGTGCTAAAAAACTGGTAGTAAATTTAATCAATATTCTTACGTATTGTAATTTAGATTATGCATTTTATCAACGAAAATTTAGATTAAATACAAATAAACCGTAACCAATCTTTACGTATGTTAAATACGAGTCTTGCAGATATGCACCAGAAGTTTTTCTGCTCCTCGGATTTGATTAAGCATGTCGTATTTATTACCTTGAAAGAATCATCGAACTGTTTTGCTTTGTTCATGTGACTTCCTGCAGACCTGCCAGGACTACTTGAGCTTCATTTATGAAAAAACTGCCGTTGTTTCTAGTGTTGTGAATTGTAACATGCTCATGGATTCTTGGTCAAAGTTTCAAAACTGATTCTGAACTAGTTTCGAATCAGTTATAAACCTAAATCCGGTTCTGAACATCCAGGTGTGTTTGGTACAAGAGAAATTTTTTGGTGACCGAGAATCATGATTAATGGGAATACAGTAGAAATTGAGTTTACTTGGAATCTTACGAAAGAGGTGTTTGGTTCGCCAAAATATTACCGGAAATATTGGGTAAAAATTACTGATTCCATATTTGGTTTAGAACGAAATATGACTTGGAATATGAGGTTATTTTACAAAAATAACCCCAAACTATTTTTACTTTTGTAATTGATAGATTGGGTCTAGATTTTTATGTGTATTGAGGTATTTTTGTCTCAAAATTTGTTGTTGTGCTTTCCCTTTACTTGGTATTCTGATTGGTATTCTGAATTGCCATATTATTTTTGGTAATCTGAATAGTGACTTTTCTTTATAAATCAAATTACCGGTAATCCTTGGATATCCGGGAATCGTAATTTATTCCTTCTACCAAACGTGGTAATTACATTTACCAAGGAAGGATTACCAGTAATCCTCTTCAAAAACTTGAAACAAACACCCCCTCGTAGAATAAAAAACCTATTCCAGCATAAACAGATCGGTTCGGCTAAAAATACCAAATCATTTCAGTTCAGTGTAGAAAAGCAAACCATTCTCACCCCTTAAAAATAGAATTGAAGTAACAACGAGTGCGCAAGAGTCTTTTGTGCCGATTATTTTTCTCAAGTGAATTCTGTTTCAGGTAATAGATTTCTGTCATGCGTTAAATTTATAACTTGATTATGGTAACTTTGGTATTTCTCAAATCAATTATTTGACTTGTGATTAGTTGACAAATTTACAGTTTGGTATCATCAGACACCAGTTTTTCATATAATTATTCTGTACACTCACAATTTCAAGGGACATCAAGCTGACCCAGGAGTTATTACAACTTTTATCAGCATTAGGACAAGCCAGTCAGACTGAGGTTTTTTGAACCCTTCATTATTTTTTAGCAGTATACGTAATAATTTAATATTATCTTCTGAATATGATATCATGATTTGTTATTTCAAACTAAACTTCATCACTGACATCTTCATCACTGACATGTACTGAGAAGGAATAAAATTTTACATGTTTACACGGCAGCATGGAAACAGGTAAGGCAGATACAGATCATGAGCATGACCCATAGTGTGAGGTAGGGCAACTACAGATCGAAGTGCTATCCGAATTGTGTATGCTTCTTTTTTTTTTTTCTTTTTTTTTAAGCAAATATATTGTGTATACTTCAGAAAAAGGAAAAGTTTACCAAAGCCTCTTTAGGCCTGTGCATTCTGTAATAGTCATTGTAAGGAGTCTTGGTCCAAAGCTAATTTGTGTTTAAATTCTCAAAACTTTCAGTAAATCTATGGCAAATTAGTTAATGTTATTTTCCTCGAAAACTGATTGTGGCCTGATATGAAAAAGTTTTAGCAGAAAAATCAGTTTGGAATGTAACAATATCTCACTAAGAAAACTTTTATTTATTTATGCAATTACAATACATCATGCACATTACATGAGATTTCCTCACACATATCACACAAGTAGTACAAAAATTAGGCTCTTTGACCGATGGGGGTTTTTTGTGATGTTAATTTATGAATTTGGTATTTGGTTGAAGGTATTTACGAATTGGGGTCATTTAGTGACGCGAGGGGGACCCAGCGTCACTGAGTGCCGCTACCATCCCCTCGCGTCACTCTCACTTTTTTTATTTTTTTTTACTTTTTTCTATTGAGTGCCGCCCCCCCTCCCCTGGGGCACTCACAGAATTGTGCCAAGTGGCACAATCTGGTTACTCGTATTACCGTAAAACTTCAGAAAGCCATAACTTTTGACTCGGGTATCCAAATCAGATGATTTTTTTTTGATTTCACATAACTTTCCGAGATCTACGCAATGACATCTCATTTGACATATTTTATCTCTCACAAACATAATTCAAATCTGTAAAAAAGTGTAATTAGTGTTGCACATTTGAACTATATTAATGGAAGATAAAATATGTCAAATGAGATATCATTGCGTAGATCTCGAAAAGTTATGTGAAATCAAAAAAAAAATCAGCTGATTTGGATACCCGAGTCAAAAGTTATGGCCTTCCGAAGTTTTACGGTAATAGGAGTAACCAGATTGTGCCACTTGGCACAATTCTGTGAGTGCCCCAGGGGAGGGGGGCGGCACTCAATAGAAAAAAGTAAAATAAAAATAAAAAAAGTGAGAGTGACGGGAGGGGATGATAGCGGCACTCAGTGACGCTGGGTCCCCCTCGCGTCACTAAATGACCCCCGTTCGTAAATACCTTTAACGCGATACCAAATTGATAAATTAAAGAAATTAAAACCCCTAATAGGTGAAAGAGCCACAAAAATTAAGCATATCACACCATATATAAGCATTACAACAAAGAAAAGCACACGACTTCAAACCAAAAAACAGCTTAGTTTGTTTTATTTAACCAGAGATTTCTATGGCCTTAACATCAGGCTTCTTGACCTCTTCCTTTGGAACTGTCACAGTAAGAACCCCATTTTCCATGGAAGCTTTCACTTGTTCCATTTTGGCATTCTCTGGCAACCTGAACCTCCTCATGAACTTGCCACTGCTACGCTCCACCCTATGCCATTTATCATTCTTGTCTTCTTTCTCAACGTTCCTCTCTCCTGTTATCTGAAGTACCCTGTCATCTTCAATCTCAACCTTCACTTCCTCATTCTTCAGCCCAGGAAGATCAGCCTTGAAAACATGTGCTTCTGGGGTCTCCTTCCAATCCACTCGTGTGCTCACAAATGCAGAATTTTCCCTAGAAAATTCAGGGAACGAAGCAGAAAGAGAACTGGAAGAAGGAAAATCCTTGAAAGGGTCCCAAACATCGAGGGAGAAAGGATCGAAAACGTTGCTCCTTCAGCCACCGAAGAAACTTGGAATCAGTGACATTTTGTATTCTTCTTTTATCAGAACTTAGGAACTCTGCAGATTGAAATTGTTATTTGAATAATAACTAGGAAAGTGAGGTATTTAAATAAAGTGGACGAGTAATTCTGAATTTTCTAGAAAATCGTATTTACTCTCCGAAATTCGGAAATATTCTAGAATTATCATCACAAGACCCAGACAGCTCTAGACATCGTTGTAGTTTTTTAAGCCCAAATAATTTGAGTTGAGATAACAAAGGAAAAACCGTGTGTAGAAAACCACTGGCTAGGCCCGATTATAAATTATTCTGAAAAAAATAAGTTTGAAAATTTGTGTAGAACCTTCTCTCTTTTTTTTAAGAGTAAATACATTTTTTGGTCCTCAGTAAATTTTACTATACCCGCTTTAGTCTCTAGCAAATAAAAAGATTCATTGTGGTTCCTAAGAAATTTAAAATGAATTCATTTTAATCTTTTTGAAGGACTAATATGAGTCTTTTTTGAATTTGTGAGGGATTACGATTTTAACTAAACGGTCTATTTTGAATTTCCTAGGGACCAAATGGGCTTTTTTATTTGCTAGGGACTAGAGCGGGTATCGTGAAATTTGCTAAGGACAAAAAATAGTATTTACTCTTTTTTTAATATAAATGCATAGAAATTGTTTATCGTCTTGATGTTTTTTTTATTCTTCATTTGAAACAATTTAAGCCTTTAAAGGGAGGAGTTACTGATTTATTCTATTGACACTTGACTTATTAATAATGGATATCCATTTTAATTAATAGATACAATTAAGTTTGTTATTTAGTTCAAAATAAATAATTAAATTAATTTGAATAACCATTATGATTAGTTATTTAGTTTCTATTTCTATTATTCTAATCGTAAGTAAACTACATCCCGAACGAAAGACTAGATTTGAGTTTCGGAACATCCGTGTTGCTTCGTGCTTGAAGGAATTAGTCTCAAAACCAAAAATAAGCTATTAGACAAAATGTCTCTCCAAATTTGTTGAATAAATAAAGGAAAAAGTGTGTGTCATTGTAAATGATGTAAAGTTGTGTCATTTTAAGAGAAAGAAAGAGATAGATACAGGAGGAGAGAGAATTAACAAAAAAAATAAAGGTGTGAATCTCACCTCTTTGTGAGAGTGAAAGGATATAAGTTGTGACATTCTAAAGGATAAACACTTTTCCCATAAATAAAATGTTTAACTTGGTTTAGAACTTTAACTCAAATGACATGAAAAGTAAAACTACACACGGGAGTTGATGCTTCTAAAACTACAACGCTTAGAATTAACCTCACAAATTAATTTTTAACTAATTGGTTGGGAAAGGAGAAAACCCAGTTTTCATCATGCATGGCCTTGGCTAATTTATACGAAATCGCAAATAATTCATGAAGAAGGAATTTGATGAGATATTTCATTTTTGTTAAAGGGGAAACAAACAAAGTAGGTTTGACTTGTTTTTATAAGTCATGTTTCCAAGACAAGAAACTCCCAAGTTATTTATGTAATATACGACTAATGTTGAAATTTAATTTTAAATATTATTATGACAAAGTCATACCTGTCAAAAATGACTTATATAAGCCCCTTTGTTTGACCTTTTAAAAAAACAGCATTTACAGCTTACTTATTTTAGAAATATTTTTTTATAAAACTTAAAACTATTTAAATTTAAAAAAAATTAAGTTTTATAAAAAAATATTTAATTTTTAACTTTTATTATTTTTAGAAGCTGAAATTTTTAGTTTAAAAAAAAAACAGTTTTTTATTTATTTTTTTGTGACTTTTACTCTCTCTTTTTTCTTAAAAAAACTCATGCCTTTACAATGTATGACAAAAATACTACTTATCAGTTTGGAGGATAGTGGTATATATTAGTTTAAGCTTGATGCATGTCTATATGAAACCTAGGATTCGTCTGCTCTGTCCTGTTTGATGTAAAGTGGTTTAAGAAAGAACCTTTTCTTGTTTTGAAGCCCAAATAATTTGAGTTGGGCTGAAAATGAAAAGTTGTGTTAATCAGTGAGGTAGATAAATTATTTTTATTTCTAAAAAAATAAATAAATTATTTTCAGGCGGTGTAAGAGTATGTATTCAATCATTTCTAGTATTATTTTTGGAAAGAGTTTAAAGCCTTAATCCCATAACTCGCCTCGAATTGGACTAGTTACGAAATAATGAATCAATTGAAATATCTAAAAAAAAAAGAAATAAATTGTTTTTTTTTTCCTTGAGATTCCATGATTAGGTTTACTCTCTTCATTTGATTTAATAGGGCATCCTAAAAACTTAATTTTGAGCTTGTTTATAAATTAGATCCAAAGAGCGGATAACATGAGGGTGGTATTGATATGAAAGAAATTAGAATCAGGGGTAGCCTTGAGACTTGAAGGGTACATTTTTTGGAGAAAGATTCCATAGAATTGAGGTGGAAACATGTTATCAGGAGTGAATGAGTTTGTTTGATGGAGTTGCTTAACCCTTGAATAAAAGGGGAGGATTACTGTAGAAATTAGGCATTAGTTGATTGTCTCAGTAATGAGACTTTTGATTCTTCTCAATAAAGTGATTCTCTTCATTCTGCCTTCATTTATCTTCTTATCTCTATTTATTGTGCGTCTTCCAACAACAAAAAAAAGAACCACATCAGATAATTAGTCATTTTGCGACAAAAATAATACGATTCACATGTAAAAAGATAAGTAGATAACAAGCTGAGTATAAAATATGCGCAAGCAAATTTTAGAGTATTCTTAGATATATGTCCAAGCTTTTATTTCTGGAAATCGAGAAACATGCGCAGACATATTCAAATTGAACATGAATTTTCACTATTCAAGATGGGATATAGATTGAAGATTTTTTCTCTCCTGCAAACATAATACAAAGGTGTCGATTCCATTTTTATTTTTTCTCTTCTTTCTTTTTAGTGAATCTCGCCTTTGTATTATGTTTGTAGGACTTGTTGACACAAGTGTGGGTCCCATTTTTACTTCTTTTCTTTTCTTTTTTCATTAAACGAGACCATTCATTGGATATCCAAGTCCATTCCCTTGTACATTGTTGCACATTGATTTCTACATTCCTTATAAACAACTATTACAGTATTTCTAATAGGATCATATACTTGTTACGAAACTTCAAGCCTAGAAAGATATTTGAAATGTTTACAAGTATAATCCTTGATTGTTCTCATATTTCCGATAAACTTTACATATCTGATTTTAGCCCAAGCATCAACTACCACCCTTCCTTTGTGTATACATTTATTTGTTATTTGCAACATTATTTATTCTTCTGTGTCGTCTATTATGAATTCAATTAACAGAACAGGAAATAACAACGTGACACATGCTTCTATCATAAAGAACGAAACAGACACATATAGAATTTGTACCCTAAAGGTATCCTTTTACCAAACAAAAAAATAAAGTTATGCCTTAAATGATAACCAATTACGATCATAAGTGAAAAATGAGGACGACAGATTAACCATATGAAATCTTTCATAACCTCCAAAAGAATCACATGGAGAAAATAGAAAAGGACGGTGGAGAAGCTTGCTAGCAATCCATCTCTGACTAGGATTCTTGATGAAACCTTTGCTCAAGAAATCTCTGCAATCCTCACTTACTCCATTAGGTATCTTCGGTGCTTCTTTAAGGACAACAAGCTTGTACATCATATCATTTGTAGTTGGAATCATCTCCTTTGAAGTTAGAGGGTTCCTACATATATTTAACCCAGTGATCATCTCTATGACTATACATCCAAGAGACCATATATCCAATGATGTTAATCTGACCCTTAACTGATTCTGGTGACATGTATAATGGTGTCCCTCTAAACCTGAAATTCCAATACTCAGCATTGATAATCTCTTCTTTAGTCTTGCTAGAAGACGTTCTTCCATTGCGATATTTTCATTATCGTCGTCGTCTTCGTCATGCATTTCCCAAGTCAGATCATTTTCATCTCCCTCAGAAATGTTACCAACTGGAGACGCATGAGCGGCAGACGTTGATGGAAGACGGGGAGAATTTAAATCAACTGACCTCACTGGTAATGGAACATTCTCCGATGCAGCGATGTCGACATACAACTCCAGAAAATCTCTCCTTGACTAGTTGAAAAATTCTTCCATTATTATCTCCACCTCTTCATCGTCAACCACTTGCAAACTAATGTATTTATCACATTGCCATAGCCTTGTCGTGATATGAGTGATACATTGGTTGCCTTGAAGACTTAACTTCTGCCGAATTCTCTGATGCAGTTCGCCAATGGTTGCGTTGCGTTGGATACGTGTCGGCTTTTTTTCACCTTCAAACATGACACCTCGTCGACCTTCTACCTTCCTACCATTGTAATATAACACAACACGAACAGAATTAGGATGTGAACTCATTCTTAAATAGAATAAGAAATAAAATGAAAATACTAAATTAAAGATAACAATTATGTATGTATGATGTCAGAATTTATGGTAGAGAAGAGATATGAAGAGTGAGAGAAGAGGTGTGAAGAGTGAATAGAATGGTAGAAAAATATGTAGGGGAGGCCGCATGTGTAACGCCCAAACTGGGTGACGCCCCAGTTAGGCGTCACCCTTAAGGGTGTGACGCCCAATTTGGGCGTTACATTGTGCAGTATATTCGTGATTATTTCCAAAACTATTACAAATGCGTAAATTTTTTATTAAAAAGCAATAAATAATTTTTTTTGCCCTAACCTAAAGAAAAAGAAAAAATAGTTGAGCGCGTTAACCATATTGGGCTGATGTAGCCTTATTCTAACTAGGAAGTTGCTCTTTTTAGTCATATTATGTTAATATTTATTAAAATAAAATAAAACTTTTATTTACTGAAGAAAAACCAAAAAAAAAAAACTTAAAAAATAAAAGTGACAAAAATAATTAAAATGTAAAAAATAAAAATAATAAATAAAATAATTTTATCGTTCTTTGTTTTATTACAATTTTGCATTATTTATTTGTGAAGTATGATTAAATTTTTATTTTAAACTTTAAAAATAAAAAAAATGTGAAAATACAAAAAAATAAAAAAAATAGTTCGTTTGTCTCTTTAGATACATTATCTTTTGTAGAATCAAATATTTACTTATAATTTAGAAATTAGAAAAAAAAGAGAGAATTGTTTCGTTGTTCTTATGTTTTATCATGTGTAGTTTAGATCATTTCTCAATATGATGTGATCAAATATTTCTAAAATATATAAGTATATAAAAATAAATATATCAAATTATTTTTATCCATGCAATAATTTATAATATTGTTGTATGATCATTCATCTTCAAATATTGTACATATCATTTACCTATTCCAGTCCGGGCTAAAATTTAAAAATTAAGCACGTTTTTAACGTAGCTAAACAACCGTAGCTAGTTTGCATGCTGATTTTCAAATATTAGCCACGTTTTAGAGGTGATAAATAACCGTAGATAGGTTTGTCACAAATTAATTTTTTTTTGCCCTAGCTGGGTTACTATGCTGGCTCCACCATTAACGTATAGTTAATCTATGTTAAACCTTGTGCAAATATAGATTCATTTTCAAAGAAAATTATTTTTTCTCAAAATTTAAAAATAAAAATTATTATTCTATTTATTAAATAAATATGTTTTATCTAATATCCTAGCAGCAATATATGACCTTGTCGGGTGGCTTGTCATCCTCAAGTATTATAAATTTCATTCGAGTTTATGTATAGCTATGCTGGCTTAAGCTCTGTGCAATGATAGATTCATTTAAATATATATATATATATATATATATATATATATATATATATATATATTATTTTCTTTCAAAAATTAAAACTAACCAACACAGATAATTTCTATAGAATGATGTAGCTTTGAGTTTTTTATTGTACCTAGGGATATATCGAAATGGGAACCTTCCCGTCAAGCTCAAAAATAATTTTTCATAATTTAGTTTTCTTTATAAATAATAAATTTTATTTAACTTATTTCTTTGTAGTGCAACAAATATTGTGACCAATTTGTTAATAATTTGTATAATTAATTTAAGGTAATCATTTTTTAAAAAATTGACGGTGTGGGGTGCTAACAACTTCTCAACTTCTCTACTTTTAATCGACTCCTGAATCTATTTTTGTTTTCAAAGATCAATTTTCTAAAACAAAATTTTTTTTTACAATATTTTCCCAAATAAATTTCAATAGCAACTACATTATTTTTAAATTTTTAATAAGTCGTGATTCGGTTGCAACATACATGTTTATAAATATTGGGTGAATAATTTGTAATTGTTCTAATGTATTTTTTCCTTCTAATTTGGCAATTTCTCTCTTGTAAGGGTTGAGGATACATCGAATATTGTTTTCTTTCATTTCTTACACCAATTATTTTTTATTTTAAGAAAAGTCAACGTGATTATATTACAATACTATGATATTAATTGAAGCTTTTCCTTGAAAAAAAATTAAGGCTTTCGGGTCAGTGTTCCTTTTACTTAAAATAAAATGCATACCAAAATATATATATATATACCCAAAAAAATAAAAATAAAAAATGCATCAAGGAGAGACTTGTGTGTTCATTAATATTTGATAATACAAGACGAGTCATTGGTATTATCGAAACCTTAATTGACTTATGTTGTTATTATTATTTACATTTATATACTGATTTGTTATAGGACCAACCTGTTCCAAAATTTATTAAAGGACTCAAAAATAAAATGAGAGGGATATATGAATGATGCTTATCGTATAGTGACTTTCGAATTTTAATATCGTGTAGTGACTGTCGAAATTGAAGCCATTGACAAATGCATTTGGTGAATGAAATATTTAACATTGATATGGAATATTAATATGAGGCACATGTTAAAAGCCTTCGCTATTAAAGAAAGAATATTATTTATTTTTTTGGAGATCAAAGAAAGATTATTTTAGTTAACAAAGGTTGTTTCTCAACAACATTAAAAATGCTACAGCAAGCTACTGAATTTCATCACCAAGCATACTTCACCGCCAAGATTACTGAACAAAGCTTATCTCAGCCATCCACAATAATCAATTGCAAAACCTTGTTGCCTCACAACTTGGAACATTCTTTTTGTTCGGAATCTTAACAATATTCATGCCTTTTGTCTAATAATTTTGTCTTCCTTTTAGTTTGATGTGCATGCGATCGCAATACCTATACCAAGAACACTAGGAACATTGTTTTTGTTCTGAATCTTAAGAACATTTATGCCCCAAGTTTCTTAGTTTAATATAAATATATAATACCTTTTATGAGGTAAGAAAGGTCAAATACCATGTTAAGCAGTCATAAATCCTAACAAATGCAAAATTATCCACTTTTGGATTTCAAAGAAAAGGCAAGAAGGGGGTTTGCTCTGACATGAATTGTCTCATAACTAAATTTGCATTTAACCATCCATTAGCGTCAGAAAGCTTGTAGATAGGGGGATTGCATTAACATAAACCAAGATGCTAATGTGTATCTACAGCAGTAAAAGGAAAATGAAACGGATAAAATAATTAAAATGCAGAAAAAAAAACTTGTCATTATTAGCCTTGTTAGGCATTTCTTGCATTAGCATAACTTCAAACAGAATAAACATCTTTTGTAGATTAGGAAGTTTTAGAGCATGGATTCTAAGCATATCTCCGGGGCTGCCAATTGCCAGGACCACCCGCCAGAGGCTTAAAAGGAACAGGCTTCATAATACAATACCCATTTTTAGAGCAACAATTGGACTTGTGTCTTCTAATGTCATGATAACTCTGCATGTCCATTGCTAGTTTTCTCTCCAAGTCATGCCTCTCAAATCTCCTCCTTAGATTTTTTCTCCTAACAACAGTACTTAACTTCTCTTTGTTGTTTGATCTTTTGCTACTTACTGGCACAGGCATAGCTTCCAAACCCATTAACTTGGCTACAACACCTGGTTTACACCACACTACACTCTCCCCTCCCAATGTTTGAGGCAAAGACATAACCTTATCAATCTTTGAGTCTGAATGATCATTCTCTTCAAGTAACATTCCTCCTAAACTTCTCTCACTGCAAACTGATCTTCTTCCTTCTATGTTCCCAAAAGAAGACCGGTACATGGAGTCCCTACCATCAAGTGAAAACCTTGGGTACTGATTCAAGGCATTCCTTGCAGATCTCAAGATGTCAGAGTTGTTCACACATGACATCCTACCCCTTATTCCACTATATTTATTTAGCTTAGCTTTCTTAGCCATCTCTTCCTCCAATTCTAGTTGTAGTATAAGATCTTCTAGTGTTGGTGAATTTTGCTTTGAATTGTCATCATGCAAGTAAGGGGAGCTTACCTTGCTTGTGAAGTCACCTTGGCTATGGCTGGTGTTGCCAATAGTACTACTATTTTGTTGGTTGAGAATTGAGGTTGAACCATCGCTGCTGCAGAAAGTTCTGAAGCCTTTCTTCATCTTGGCTCCTAAGGAGTTCTTGAGGTGAAAGAATGGCATGTCCTTCATCAATGTGAGTTCTGAGAAAAAGTTTAGGAGAGGTGCATTTGCATGATTTTTTAAAAATGGGGTTTTGAGTTTTCTATAGTACAGAGGAGAGATTTACTAGAGAAATGCATTGAAACGTGAATAGATTGAATGGGAGCGGTGTGGTGTGGCACTGAATGGAGCATTCTTTAGTCAAGTAAAATTAGATGAGACTTAATAACAGTCACATGATGGATAAGGAAGGCTTTCACAGGTTTTTCATTTCTTTGCTGCAAAGTTGTTTGGATGTTTATAGCAGAGTATGTGAATAGACACCTAATAGCCTCTGAGTTACCATTTTCACTTTAAATTGGTTGAGAGAAATGAAGATCATTCATTAAAGTCGCGGTGGTAGAATGCATGGAAAATAATTGAGCCTTTCAATCTTTCCATATGTTACTTACTAATTAGTACTATAAAAAATTCTTGAAGCCATTTGTCAAATGGTTAGGTATATATGTATAGATATTCCTTAACGATAGATAAATACGAGTGTCAACCACGTAATTATAAGAATCATGATGAAATCATGGCATACAAGGTTAATATCATCCTTAATGAATTTGAATCCTCATAATAGTCTACATTTTCTTGTCAAGTCTTAATACCTCCCTTATTACTAAAAGAAGCATATGTGATCGTAGCATTTATTTCGGCAACCTTATTATTATCATTGTCTTTTTATTCAGTTCTCTTTTCTTTCCTGGTTTTCTTTTAAAAAATTGTTTAGACTTTAGAGGTTCCTCGATTTCTTCAAATAGTTGTTGTTTTTAGTTGGTCAATTTAAACTTTACTATGTTGTCTCTAGAGAATTCATGAAAATTTTAATTTTTCATAATATCTTAATAAATTCACATTAAGACACGAGTTATCTTTTCATTCTGAGACAATATTTATTGGTCTTTCTTTTCATTTTTAACTGTATAAAACGTATCTTTAATGAAACAATATTAATAGGTTTCTGGAAGAAATAAATTACGGATCAACATGATCTTTTGTTCATGTTGGAATCTTTGCCCATTAAGTTACTTTATGCAACTCGTATTTGCAAGACTTTAATCTTGAAAATTCCAATGAGAGACATCCATCATTGGTGATCTCAACTAGTAAAGTTTTTGATAACCATATATTACATGGGTTGAATTCTCTCGTGTTAAAATTTTATATGACTTGGTCATCTGAATTTTTTATATCTATTTCTTTCTTCACATGCATTAAATAAATGAAGTCTAATTATCATTAATAAAATAAATAAATAAATACAAAAATTTCACATAATCAAATAATGTGAAATTTTGACATAAAAAGATTCATATTTCCATATATTATGACATCATGACCGTGAACAAAATATGTAGCCCAACCCAATGGAGGCTTTGTCCATTGCCCTTCAATTAATTGTGAGGTAAGTTGAGTAGGTGGGTGGGGGGACCGATTCAAATTGTAATACATCTAAATCCAAAGATACCAAAATTGCACTCTGTTTTATTCTAACACGGTTTTCTTGTTCTCTTCTCAAAAGAGTAATGCAAAATAAGAAAACCTCCCCAAAAAAACTAAAATTGCTAGAATGAGCTTGACCACTTGTAATGTTAAAATTTCTCAAGAATTTGTCGCGAAAATTATTTATTAACATCTTTCTTCACAAATATTCATAAATTTGATAAGATCACACTTATTTAATGCTGGTAAAGAGATAACAATACAAAATTTTCATGTAAAATTTCAAGATAAAAGAATATATTCTAGAGCTTCATTATTGTAGGACAAAAATAATCACAAGAAAAAAAAATATTGTAAATATCGAACTCGAGGGCAGCTTCCAAAAGTGTGTAAAGGGGAAAAAAAATGCCATGCTCTAGGATTCTATAGCATGTTGCAGAAGAATATTAGATGTATTTTCAACCTTGTGGAGGATGCATTTCTTGAAAGAGTGAATGATAAATATGGGCGCATGAAAGAAATTTGTATTCACAAAAGGGTCTTGCAATTGATATTAACACTCAGAAGAAATTTGTTTTCACTAAATTTGATTGTTTGATGTTGATTAATACCATATGAAACAAATAGTTAGAACATGTCTAGTTAACAAGTGTTCCCCATGACAAGAAAAGTGCTAGAAGCTCGCAGGTTATATTTATTAGTTAAAGTAGAAAAAATTATTATCAATTGTGCGGTTAGACAAAAAGATATGGAAGAAAATACAAAGATCTGTTCATGGTCTTCAGTCTATTTGAAAAGAAAGATGATAGAGGGTTATGAAAGATATTGTACAAGTATTTAGAGAATAAAAGATAAATGAGCTGCATGATGAGCCAACCACAAGGGTGCAAACTTATAAAGGACTAATAAAAGATTTTTCTATCCACCTTTAACCATATACATTATTATCTTGGTTGGTATTCAGGTCATATTTATTGTTACTTTCAGGCACTGCTTCAATCTATACTCTTTTGATGTATTGTTAATGGGTTATTCAATGGAATGACAGCTTATTTGTTTTACATTTTGGTGAATGCAAATGAACGTTTTTTTTTTTTTCATTCAAATATGCATTGGAGTTTGTGCCCCCGAGCTAAATTAAAAGTAACCTAACTAAAATTTAAATTTGAACTGTAGAGATAAGCTTCGGAAAGAAATGTTCGATAAGATTTTCACAAAAAAAAAAAATGATTGATGAGAATAATAATAACCTTGAGTAAGTGAAAAATTAAGAATCACATCATGCCATAAGTTACTTGGTTTAGGCATGTTACATCCATCATACCAAATAAAGGGAGATTAATTAAACATGTTTCACCAATGATTCAAGTCAAGTCGATTTAACAAAAATAAATAAGTACTTCCAAGAATAATTTGTGATTGAAAGTGCTTAAAATAAATTGTACCAAATAACTACGAGACAAGTAATACATAGTAAATATTGGTTAATGAAGTACCAATAAGAACCAAAAACGTGCAGTAAATATGAGAACGTTAATACTGAACGAAAAGCCACATAAAAAAGATGATATTGAAAATAAGTGTTTAAAATGGAGTTGAATCATCACCTATTAAAGAACGAAATCTAGTTCAAAGCATTTATCATATGAAAAAAAAACTTATATCAAACAGAAAATAAGCTAATTAAAAATAAAAAGGAATACCTAAAAAATCATTAAGAGAAACTATTAAAAATAGTTTTAAATTACTTTGTTAAAAATTTAGTTTTAATAAGACTCAATGTCATAGTGATGCATGTAACTAATGTCAACTAATGAAAAGATATTTAGTTGTTATGATTCACAAATTTCTTATCTATTTCATTACTTCCACATTAAACTTTATATTAGTTGTTTCCCATCACCAAACAGCTATCATCAATCAATACGAGTCTAACGGAAGGCAACTTCCGGGGATGTCACATTTCCGTGAAAATTATAAAGTGTCAAATAAAATGCGTCGGTCTTCAAAGAAGTTACTAGTCATTTAGGAAACCTTGTTATACTTCAATTCTGTGCAAAATCCTCGGCTCTCTTTTCTATTTTATTGCCGTCCCCTATCGGTACCCACCCAGCCCCACCGAAAAAGCAAAGAAAACGAAAAAGGTTACATAGAAGAGATGATCAGATCTATTTCCCCATGCCCGACGCTTGTACTATATACTCCATAGCTTTAGACTTTTGATTGCAGAATCCAAAGCATGAATATGAACACGAGGGTTCAGATTTAGTGAGATGCAGTTCACGTAATGTGTATTTGAAACCAAATTTGATTTTAATAGATAATACCAGGTTTGTTATAAAAACAAACCAAAGCCTTTACGATGACATTAAAGGATACTAAAAACAACTTCATGAGATATATATGCCTCATCCAAAATATTTGTGAAAATATTAAGAAACCTGACGTTTTGTCGAATGTCCCTAACCTGTGGTTCTCATTTCCTGTGTGCTATACAAAACGGGTTAAGCCCCGTTTTCTGTAAGATGGGGAAAGTACTAAAAAAAAACGAAATGATAAAACTATCTGAGATTTTTCACTGTTCTGTATAAATATGCACTTAGCAAAGAATGGTTCAAGTGACTGTTCATCATCAGCTCAACCCAATTGTGTCAGTTCTGCAACTTCCTCTTATAAGCCATGAGCTGTAAATAACAAAAAAAAAAGTGAGATAACAAGAGAGTGAAGATCTGCAATGAGACAATGGCAAGAGGGAAAAAAACTCATACACCACACAGTCAACTTTGAGAGCTTACCAGATAACCACCACAGCTGACATTATGATAAGTTTTCAGTTCAGCCAAAGTTTCTTGATCTCTTAGAACATGCAACTTATCTTTGTCCGGATCAACTGTTCTTTCAGCTCTTATAATTTCGGCTTGCGGCTCTTTTACCAAGCATAATTCGACTTCATCGGCCTGCAGCGAAGCTTTAAGGGCAACATACTGTACATTGAAAAACAATTAGAATCAATAAGATATATATTACATAAAAATTGTCTTTAAGACGGAGAGAGATTAACCTGGCACAGGTTCCTGACTGACAAAGTAGGCCTGCAGCAAAGGTATGGCTCCTGCAAACTTGGTGTTCTTTGCTCATCCAAAGAGACAAGCATGAGATGGATATCCAACTGAAATAACGTAGACCTTGTATCATTGTTGCAGTATAAGTGCTCAGGCAAAGACTGCTAATTGCTAAAGAATACTAAATAATAATAACGTGAACTAAGCACCCTTTTAAATGAATCTGGAGCCCTGGTCTAAAAGATAGCACAGGATCTCATTTCTCAAACAGGTTGAGCAACCTTAAAGCCAGAGGTTCAGATAGTCTAGGGTACAGTAGTATTTAAACAATCAATCCTAGAAACATAAAATTACCTCATCATCATTTACTTCTAAGTTACGGAGATGATCAACCAGCTTGGATAGGCGACTGTTTCTGGCATTCTTACCATTGACGCGGGTGTGACTCCTGTGGCCATTTTTTCCCCAGGCAAGTGTACCAGATGAACTTATTATTTCTCTATTCACTTCTGGAGTGTTTTCATCACCAGCTCCATCCCCATCAGTAAAGGTAGAATGTTGAGGAAATTGTGTTTCGCGTTCTCCACCTCTTTTGCATTTTTTTGGTTTGGTTTCTGTCTGCTCATCACCAGAAGATGAGTCCTTTACCCCATCATTATCATTCATATCCTCATTGTCATTGGATTCCTGAAGTTCACCAGCATTTCTAAAGTTTCTTCGTCTCCTCAGGTGTGAAGAGCGATAGTTACCTTGTGACCTCCTCACAAAAGCCGCTGCTGTTGCTTTAGCATTCCGTTTCTTACCACCCAATGCTTCTGTTTGTCGTTGAAGAGTCTGGGCAATGGAATCTTGAATCTTCTTAAAAATGATAAAACTCTTGAATTATTAATACTATAAGCCAATGGAAAAATCTTGCAGACATACACTAAACAATGATCAACAACTTTCTTGATTTATATTGATCATGCTTACTATTCACACCATAACAAAACTATGTCCACTATACAAAAGCATTTAATACTTTTGAATGTTGAACCTGTTGTAATTGACGCAAATTAAAGCACAATCATAAATATAAGGAGAAGAACTGAGGTTTGACTATTTTCTCGATGGATTATATACTATTCACCTGCTTATTGTGAGCCATCTCATCTTCATGCAAAGCCAATTCCTAGGCCAGAACCTTGATAATGAGTTTTTCATTCAGATAAAACACATTTTCAATCTTAGATGCAATACGTCCAACTTACCTCCTCCTCATACTTGTCAATATCTGGATAGAGAGCAGCAATCAAGGCATCATAGTTTGGGTCATCTCTAAGTGAGCGTCGGCTAGCACAATGTGTACGGCAAGCAGGGCATTCATTGTTACTGCATTAAAACAAGTCCAGACTATTCAGAAAATGAAAGAGCAAAAATTTGTAGCAAATAAACAAAGACCACCCCAACTATAAATTTGTGAGATAATAATGTAGATGGCGGCAGTTGGATGACGAACCCAAGGCGCATGGATTTGTCTATGCACTCTCTGCAAAAGCGATGCAGGCATTCCATTACAGTTCTTGTTTTTCGAATGATGCCTGCACGTCATGAAACCAATCATTTTTTACTATACGATCTGATCATTGGAAAAGAAATAAAAAATAATTATCATGTTACATCTGGCATATCTCGCACAATGTCATGAAACGTTCATCAATGCACAACATAATAACAACAAAATTTATACAATTCAAATGGGGGAAAATAAATTTGTAAATGTAACATCCCAATGGCTGATGAGGGCGGGGAGTGATCGCCGGTGCAGAGAGGCACGGACAAGGAGCGGCTCCTAGCGGAGGTGTACATGAATGAATCGAATACACACCCGAAAGAGAGGGATTCCAAAGACTGTACATGTATAGGACTCTATAGTTGGGGATAGCTTATAAGAATTAATTGGTACTACCTAGGCTAACAAGATGTATTTACTTTTCGGTAGCCCAGAACAGAAGAACTCCATAGTTAAACGTGCTTGACTTGGAACAATTATGGGATGGGTAACCTCCTGGGAAGTGGAAGTGTGCGAGTGAGGACAAAGCATACCGATTAGTCTCGTGTTAGTTTGTGGGGACAGTCATTGATTCTTGAAGCGGCCGGGCGTTACAGTAAATATTAGTTGTTTGCTTGTTGCTATGCAGATTATCTGTACTAGAGGTCAAACTAACTAGACTAATGCATCCATTTGATCCATTTGCCTAAATCTTTCAATAGAAATATAAAATTTCAGTCGAGTTCCCAATGCAGATTTTTATTTTTTTATTTTCATACGACAATTTAAGTGAATAGTTATGGTCTTATGGATGAAAAAGCTCTCAACCTATTTATTATTGTTCAACAACAATGTGAACACATGAAAACTTCATGTACTTACCTTTGTTTTACAACTTTTGTAAATTAAAAAAAAAAGAGAGAAAACAAAAAGATTGCAGGTTCCTTCTAAGGGCGCCCATTAGTTTGTGTTTTATTAAAGGAAAAACGTTTTTTAATTAAAAAAATTCGATAAGTTTTTCAAAAAAAAATGCTAAAACCCAGAAAAAAGCAGTTTTAGTGCCTTTTTCATAAGCTAGAAAGAGTAGCTTAGGAAAAAAAAGTTATATTATAAATGGGTTGTTTCTAAATTTAGTTTTACTTTTCTTTCATATTCAAGATGTCAGTGAAGTCGTGCATTAATTCTCATTCACAACTTCATATATATACATATATAAAAAGTAGTTTACTATTGTTACAAAACAAAAAAAGTAGTTTACTATTGAGAATACACCATTTGGGTAATAAATGTTGCTATATGCACCATGCATGTCAAAAAACCACAACAAGAGACAATAAAGCACACGTACATGTGAAGGCTTGCCTGAGATGAAAGAGATTCTTGTCACATTTCAGAGTAAACCCAGAAAAAAATAAATTGGTATGTTTTGTTATCTAAATCTTATCATAAATTTATGCATCAACCAGCATGGAACCTGTCCAACAATTTGATATTTTGAAATTACACAGGCATAGACAGTTGGATGGACTCTGGATAGGTTATCGCAACTTACAAGCGTTATATTTTTCCTTTTATAAAAGCAAAGAACCATTTAATCCAATAAAACTACATGAATCAAGAACCATTGAATGATCTGGTTCCCTTAAATCATCACTTGCATAATTCGTCTTTTATGTCCATATTTACAAGCACGTCTTTTATGTTGACATACTGGTTAATGACTGTCCAGTTAATAACCATTTCAATGCTATGCACTATTTACAGAAGCAACCAATGAAATAATCACAACTACAATGGAAGTTAGATCAATCCTGACTTCCTCAGATATAATGTAGTGTGAGTAAATGGTAAGTTTATAGTTATGTTAAATCAAATGTCATAGATTGTGAGCCCTCTCTGAAGCCTGTGGCATTCACCTTAGAATGGGGCAACCTCCCCTCTTCCCAAACTTTATAGAACCAAAAACAAAAAGTAAATGTCATAGACTTTAAATAATGAGTTACTGTGTCAGATATTCTCACCTGGAAATTATGTAATAAGCTGAGCAATATCGTAATATTAATAGAGATGACACTAATTCCATGATCTACATGAAATAATAGGTGGATTTCAACCCCCCTTTTATTTCTTTCCTCTGAACTCATTCATTACTAGCATCTGAGCTTAAAGAGGTTACCACATTACAGACACTTTTAATCTTTTTATAGTTATGTACATCAAAAAGTTGGAGGGGAGGGGGAGGGGATACAAGACACATTAAAAGGATCTTATGAATATATAACTTTAAAGTGACTATCTTTCCATTGCCAGAATCATAACCATTATCTTACCAAGTAAATATTATTCTAAAATAATTGACGCCATACCTTACTAAAACAAAATTTAAGGTAAAACTATCAATACTTGCAGCAAAGCATGTTAGTGGAACAACATAAAATTTTAGAAAAGAATATGCTAAATATTATTAAGCAATCTAGCATCAGTTATAAATTACATACCTAGGCAGATAGGACACTGAACTTCTTTGCGTATATCTGACAACTTTATAGACACATATCTGTAAATACACACCAATAAGAGGTATTAGCAAATCTTAGCATCTAATATTTTACGGAGATGGATCATTGTCAAATGCCAAATTCTCAAGCCCTTGCTCTAAGTCAATGCATTATGCTCAGCAGCCCAAATAACAGATACAGGCCATCTTAATTTAATTGATTCAGTAAAAAATGATCTTCCCAGGAATGAAAAAGGAGATGATGTAAAAGAAAGTTATGAAAATAACTTTCAGAGGATTTTGCTAAACTCTGACATTTATATACACCTTATAAAAATCATATGAAGGATAAGAGGAAATATAAGTAGTTTCATCTTAAAGTCAAGAGTTTTCATCCAGGTACATCTGAGTTCAAAAACATATTATATTATGCATGCATACAAGTGTTTCACATTCTTAGCTTAGCAAAGTAGCATGCCCATGAAAATGTCATTAGATTATAATGCGAATAAATGGGTAATCCAACAAAAAAAAAAAAAGTTGATGTAATCTCTAGCCTGGGTAAAATGCTTCTCACAGAATAAGTTCATGGAAAAAATAACATTTACATTAAACAAGGTTTTACACAAGTTCAGTATGAGCAAAGCAGAATATAAAAAATGCTTTTTTTCCCTCATAGCACCATGATGTAATCGCATTACACAAGATAAGAATCATTGATAATGCTACAACATAACATTTTTCTTAGGGCGGAGCAAAGTTCATCGATTATGCTGTAAGCTCAGATCCCAAACAGTTCTCATCTATCTTAAGAAATTTTCTATTTTATCTATACTAAAAATATTGAAAAGGGAAAACACATTGCAATCAGATACAATCCTTCGCCAGTAACCACAACCAAGATTTGACTCCGTTAACAAATGGGTAAATGCATGCAGCAACAATCCAATCGAAAGCATGCACAAATACGAACTCATGCTAAAGCCACCAAAGTAACCATCCGTCTTCAAAGGACTCAACAATGAACTCCACCAACCATCCACAACCAGAAAAGCACGAGAGAACGCATCACATATAAATAAGCGAAAAACAAAAGCAACACTCTCCAGTTCCTCCGAATACGCCACATACGAAAACCGCAAACACAAAATAAACCATTCCGACAGAGAATCAAAATCCACATTGAAAATTCAAGCAGTACCATAACCGTTGCACAAAAAAAAAAAAAAAAAAAAAAAGCCAAATCGCAAAGTGAACGACGGAAGAAATGTGGAACGACGAATCAGGTTAACGTACTCGTCTTCGTCCTCTTCGCTCGACGAATCGCTTCCATCGGATTCTGATGACAACAACGAAGCAGAAAAAATATATATATCACGAACAGCACAGATAATCGAAATTCAAATGAAAATGCAGGAAGTTGTTAACCAATTCCTATCACAGAAATTCGGAGGAAAACATTAAAACGACACGTACCGACTTCATCTTCGGGCTGTTCATGGTTGTTTCCCTGAACATCCTCCTCCGGAGCCTCCGTCGAGCGCTTCTGTGCTGGCATTGGTTTTACTCCAAGCAAAACCTAGCAAAGAAATGAAGCTCGAAACCCTCCGCAGCCGGCGGCGGAGGCGGCGGTTACGGAGGAAAACGACGGTGGCAAATTATGACTTTAATGCCTTGACCTTGGGAGGAAGAGGGGGAGCAGAAACTGAAGCTTTGGATTTTTCAGACGTTGCTTTATAGCTAGTACGAATGCGAAAGAGTGTTCGCGTATCCAATAAAAATTCGCCACGTGGATCACAAGCAACAGTGTCATACTTTGGGTGCTGTGATTTGCATGATGATGTGGCGTTCATTTAGTTTTGGGTGTTGCTCTCGTGAACCATGCTGCACTTGATGTTTGCCCTCTATTTTATTTTTTTATTTTTTTTGGCTTGACCGGCCGGGCAACCTTCGTGTTTCTTGGCTCTGCATAAATACGTTGATTGGCGTTACTGATAGCGTGAAATTTTAGCCCACTGTCAAATTAATTTTGGGATAAACATAAAAAACTTTAATTGACATTATTTAAAAAAACTACTAAAAAAATATATAAAAATAATTTATTAAAGTTGAAGTGGTTTTTGTTCGCTAAACACTTTATTGCAAAAATTAATTTAAGATAATTCCGTGGGGTCTTGTGCATCTAGGACTAGGGGTGATGTCATGTGATACTCCCCTTCCGAATATTATTTCTTATTTATTAAAATTTATTATTCCTTACAAATAAAAGTTACTTCAATTGATAAAATTGATCCATTTTGATATAAAAAAAATGTTTTGAGTTATAAGTATATTGTAAAAAAATTTAAAACTTGTGGCAGTAATTTGATTTTTTGAAAAGAACAATTTATCTATATTTAAAATTTTAATCTGAATCATCACAACTTGTGGCCAATGTCACTTCATAGTTCATATAGTGTCAAAAGATTTTCAAGATTGTCATACATTCAATTTGCTTGAGAATCTGTTTTTGAATACTTACCATTTAGTTATTTCATTCTATTTTTCTTTTACCTTCCTAATTCTTATCCCTCTCATCCAAGCAACATTATTACAAGGTGTTTGTTTGGCAATGAGTTGGAACAAATCCGAGCTAAATCTAAAATTGCATACAAATATTTTCATTTTGGGAATAAAAAGTTTAAGAAAATAGGAGGTAGAGCCATTATTGCTTACTAAATAAATTTATTGATATTTTCTTGAAAAGGGAAAAAGGAAAACGATATTAAAGCAATGCAAGATTCTTACCTGAATTACTACCACAAAATCAAATAAAAAATGGTAAATTCTTGCAATAAAGATTCTTATTGCACAATTGCTTCACATCTTGTTCATCCTTTTTGAAATTATTTTAATGCATTTAACTTTGATTAATCTCTGTACTTGGTAATTAAAACCAATACAAGATTCTTTCCTAAATTATTACCACGCAATCAAATAAAAAATGGTAAATTCTTGCAATAAAGATTCTTATTGCACAATTGCTTCACATCTTTTTCATCCTTTTTGAAATTATTTGAATAAATTTAACTTTAATGAACCTCTGTACTTGGTAATTAAATCAATCCGTACAAAGGGATGCTTCTCTCCCTCTTAATTTTATGTGGACGTAAAATTTTATTAAATTTATTTAATGGTGTGTAACATTAGTAATCAATTCCAAGTATACGTGAAAATCTTGTAAAGCATAAACATTTAACACGCATACATGAGAGACAAAATCTTACCTATAACAAGTAAAGACTCGTTAAGAATACTTACCAGGAAAAAAAAAACTCGTTAAGAATTATTTTTCTTTTTTCGGAGGTGAATATTTCATTAAATGATATTCACGAAACAGTTACCAAAATGTCATTGTTCACCAAATTTTTTACCTAAATGTCATGCGAACAATGTTATTTTTCAATATGCCACGAGGGCAAGTTCGCTGAAAACTGTAACGAACTCGGTTTGCTGACGTGTCACGTTTTTAGTGGAAAAAGTACCAAGTTCGCTACTGCGGGTAGCGAACTTGGTTGTTTTCCAAGTAAAAAGTTCAACCAAGTTCGCTACTTCAGTAGCAAACTTGGTACTATGTTCACTAAAAACGTGACAAGTCAGCTAATCGAGTTTGTTACAGTGCCCAGCGAACTTGCTCACGTGACATATTGAAAAATAACACTGTTCACATGACATTTAGGTAAAAAAAAATTGATGAACAGTAACATTTTGGTCTGTGTTCCCGATATTCACACTATCTTTGTATATGTGAATGTGCTTTTATGTAATATCTAATTAAGAATGTAAACTTTAAAACTTATCAATTGAATGATTAAATTCAATAGGAAGATTTTTTTTTTTTTGGGTATGAAATATCTTCGGAAAAAATGACATAGATTATATATAATGAGTGTCCTGCTCATGTTTATTTTAATTATTATTTTTTTGTTGCAATAAAGGGCAAAATCCCAAACAACATGTTTCGAATTGATTTAAAATGTTTAAGTTCAATGTTCGAGCCGTGTTAACATTTTACAATAAATAAAGATATTTCTGTTTTCTATTAAAACAAAAAAAGGAAGAAAATTTTACATTTAGATCATATCATTTAATTAATAAGAAAGATTAAATTATGTAGTCTCTTATTATTAAGAGATCAAAGAGTATAATATTTTCATCTTTGAAAAATTGATTCAATCGATGTCATAATAACATAGATGATATATTTAGGTATGTAAATGAGTTGAGTCAAACTTAATATCTAGCGTTTGGGTTTGGTTTGCTGTGGCGGGGGGCAACGAATACTTAAGTTTTATCATTTATTTAAATAAGCTAACTATAAAGCTTAAGTATTATTTTTTGAAAATATGAAGCTTGAGCTTAACTTATTTAATTTGTTTATAACAATTATATTTTCTTTGCTGACTTTTTTTTTTACTTCAACCCTTGATTAATTTTTTAATAATTGTTACTGTATGAATAATAAAAGATAACTTTTACGTGTGACTCGTGTTAAAAAGAAATTCTATATACGCAAAATTTATCTATATTGTAAAAAAAATAAAAAATGGCAATTCTATATTGTAAAAATTTAATTTCACTTATAATAACTTGTGGCGTGTGCCACTTCATATCGTGTAAAAAGATTTTCAGGATCATCATACATTCAATTTACTTGAATATTTATTGGTGAAATCTTATCTCATTCTCATTTTTCTCTTATCTTCATATTCCTCTCTAACAGAAGTTGCTGTCATTCGCAGCTTGATGATATATCAAATTGGGTCTATTATATAGACCAAGATTTACAATTGGTTACATCAGGAAATCAGCTAAACTTAAGGAACAGAAAGCATAAATCAAGCTAATCTATTTACATCAGGAAATCAGCTAAACTTAAGGAACAGAAAGCATAAATCAAGCTAATCTATTTACATCAGGAAATCAGCTAAAACTAAGGAACAGAAAGCATAAATCAAGCTAATCTATTTTAATATACAAGGTAACAAACCGTGATAGTTACAATCAGGATCCTAACAAATTAATGCTACTCTAATACTCCCCCTCAAGGTGGAGCATGGAGGGAGGAGAAGCCCAACTTGGAAGTCAAAAAATCGAATTGTTTGGATCCAAGTGCTTTGGTCATAATATCTGCGGGTTGAGAACTAGTGGGGATATGTTGAGTAGAAATAGTCTTGCTGAGAAGATAGTCCCGAACAAAATGGCAATCTAACTCGATATGCTTGGTACGCTCATGGAACACTGGATTAGAAGCAATATGAATAGCAGACTGACTGTCACAAAACAGTTGCATAGGGGCTGCATGAGGAATATCAAGAGAGCTGAGAAAAGACTTTAACCAAATAAGCTCAGAAGTCGCAGCTGCCATGGCACGGTATTCAGCTTCAGCAGAGGAGCGGGATATTGTGTTTTGCTTCTTGGTTTTCCAAGAAATAGGAGAATGTCCAAGAGTAACAAAATAACCAGTGACTGATTTTCGAGTCAAGGGACAACTAGCCCAATCCGAATCACAATAGGCACGAAGAAGAAGATCACTGTCAGATCGAAGAAGGAGTCCTTGGCCAGGATTGGACTTAATGTACCGAAGAACACGAATAGCCGCATCGTAATGTATCTGCATAGGATGCTGCAAAAACTGAGAAAGTGTGTGAACTGCATAACTAAGTTCTGGTCGTGTAATCGTGAGATATACAAGACGGCCAACAATACGTCTATAACGTTTAGGATCATCAAACGGAGGTCCTTCAGCAAGAGCAAGCTTGTGATTGGGATCCATAGGATAAGCAACCGGTTTACAACTTTGAAGTCCACATTCCTTAAGAATATCCAAAGCAAATTTGCGTTGAGTAAGAAACAAACCGGTCTTGCTTCGAGCAAATTCAATGCCAAGAAAATACTTGAGGGGACCAAGATCTTTGATTTTAAACCAGGTTTGTAAATGAGCTTTGACACGGTCACAGAGAGAAGGATCACTACCTGCCAACAAAATATCATCTACATAGACAAGTATAGCAACATAATGGGAACCAGTCGAGTAAGTGAACAACGTATAATCAGCACGAGACTGAACAAAGCCGAAACTGAGGAGAGAACTACGAAGCTTAGCAAACCAATTTCGTGGGGATTGCTTGAGACCATAAAGTGAACGTTGAAGCTTACAGGCGTGACCAGACTTGGTTTGGGAGAAACCGGGAGGAAAACGCATAAAGACTTCTTCATCCAAATCGCCATGGAGAAAGGCATTTTGAACATCCAGCTGAAAAATGCTCCATTTTCGAGCTACAGCTACAGATAAAAATGTACGCACACTTGTCATTTTAGCCACCGGTGCAAAAGTCTCAGTGTAATCTTCTCCTTCGATCTGATTGTTCCCAGCAATAACCAGACGCGCTTTATAGCGTTCAATGGTTCCATCAGAATTGTACTTGATGCGGTACACCCACTTACATGGAATAGCTTTCTTACCAGAAGGGAGAGGTTGAATTTGCCAAGTATGATTGGCTTCCAATGCATCAATTTCGGCTTGCATGGCTTTCTGCCAATGAGGATATTGCATAGCCTCTTTAAATGATTTGGGTTCCAGGTTACTATCCACGGCGGCAAGAAAAATCTGATGGTGCGAAGAAAATAATGCATTAGAAACATAAT